AACAATGCGAACTCGCGAAATCAATATCAACTAAATCTTGCATCTGCTTTGAAGAATAAAAATTTTGAATAATTCAGAATTTCTGAACGCATCGTTAACCTAAAATAATGTAAGTATGGTGAGTCAAACTTAATTGTCAAGTGTCTCCTGTAATGTCACAATGGTCACTGCTTTCGCTTTATTTTGTAGTGTCGTTATCGGTTGTCGCATAATAACTATTCTACGTAAATTGATATTCAAGTTAATTGTTACTTTTCCCTTGCTGTGTATACCCACATAATTTTGAAACTATGTGTAAGTATCTACACATATACAAAAACCATCGATAATGGTCAACATCGATGTTTTAAGTAGCCTAAACATCGAACATCGATGTTGAGCTGTCGATGCCAACATCGATGTCATCATCGATGTTATTATCCCTATCTTAAAACTGAAGCCTGAGCCGTGGTAGCTCAGATGGTTAGCGCTCGCTGTAAGCTTCACAGTACTCGAGCAACCCGGGTTCGACCCCCGCCGGCACCAATGAAATTGTTAATTGCAATTTTAAGTGCTGATTTACCACGTGCTCGGCGGTGAAGGAAAACATCGTGAGGAAACCTGCATGTTCGCCAACACGTATTGGGGCAGCGCGGTGTACATTTCCTTGCCCTAAAACCCTCTCAGAAATGAGAGGAGGCCTGTGCCCAGCAGTGGGCCGTAAATAGGCTGCAACTTTACTTTACTTAAAACTGAACGGAAAGTTATTTGGTATTAGAGGGATTCTGGGTATAAAACAATATCACTATCACGACATTTATTGCAATTTTGCTACTTTTAGTAGAGTTTTGTAATTTTGTTGAATAATTGAAAATTTCAATATCTCTTTTTACTGGTTTTTGTTACTGTTGGTTTTTGTTATGAGTTGTTAGTCTACACGACTTACAGGCAGGTATAGATTACTGTATATATATACCTTACAGGCTTGAAACTTCGTCTCATGAACATTAATTATTTCAGTGAGTCTCAATACGATTCACCTGCGAAAAATCTTAACACCGCAATTCAGAAAAGGTTGTAATTTGTACAACGCCATCTATTACGTTCTTTGTGAGAAAACATCCTTTTTTAATGGGGGCTAATAATTTTCCGCTCACCAGATGTCGCTAGATGACACTGAGGTAAAGTTTTTTGTTACACAATGTAATTTAATTGAGAAGTTGTTTTTTAATAAATGTTTATCAGTTTCTAGATTATTATATTAATACACAAATAATGCGTCAGTGGTTTCCTTTTTAAAATTTTTGTACATTTTTAACTTTTTTTTAATTTTTCTACTTTTATGAATATCTGTAATTTGGTATATTTATTTTGAATGTTATTAATATAAAATATATCCAATAGTACAAAAAGAAACAATAAGTCTTACATTTTCCAAATAAATTAACTTCACCGCTATGAAATCTGTCAAATGTTATACCTCCCTTTCCAGTGGCGCCGCCCTGGTGGCAGAAAAAGTCGTGGATGCCCTCATTTAAGGAAAACATGTATTTACTGTGTTTTAAGTACTATAATAGAACGATATGAAATATATTATAATAGAACGTTTTTTTTTACACACGAATCTTTTTATTACTATTTCTGAGATTTTGTGGCGCCATTAAACAAATTCGAACCTACATTTCAAAATAATAATCATAACTTTCGATAGAATTAACCAATTTCAATAAAACAAAGATTAAATGAACTTGATATCACATTTGTGCCACACCACCATCTATCGATGAAATTGGTTAACTATTGTACTTTAATTTAGTTTAGATAATAAGGTTAATATATTTTGTATATATTTATTACGTTCTTTATGTAATATTTTTGTTTACTGCGTTTTAGATATAATTATATCATTATAGAACATTATTTTACATCATTTAATTATGATTTATAATATGATATTAATTTTAAAATGTACTTGATGACTCATCCAACGCCACTATTGAACAAATTCGTACCTATACTTAGTACCCATACTTCAGAATATTTGTCATAACTTTTGATGGAATTAACCAATTTTAATGAAATAAAGACTAAATGTAACCTGAATATACACTTAATAATTTCCTTAACTATTCTTATGATATAAATTAGTACTTTATACGTGATACGTTAACAAACAAACAGACAGACAGACAGACAGACAGACAGACAGAAAAATCTAAAAATGGTAGAAATGTATTTGATTACTTATTTTTAGTACCTCTCAATCAATTTTATTACAAAAATATAAAATGTACAGACATCTGCTATTTACATTTTTATTATATGTATAGATTTTGTCACCATACAGATTTTATGTAACTACATACCTTCAATATTTAATTAATTTAATATAATATAATAACTTTGTATGATTGCAAACGTTTGGGAACGAACGCATCGAAAATTTGAATTTTACCGCGCCACACTTACGCGTGCTTGTCGACTACGTAACCGTCTAGCTAGACCTAACCTCAATCGGAATCTACATATATATTTATCTATGATCGGAATTGAAACGACTAAACTTCAACATATCATAACATAGTTCTAAGTTAAAAACTAAAATTTCTTTCTACCTAGGTATAATGTGTTTGTAGGTAATATAATTAATTATAAGTATTCTTAAAAATTGTTGCTGCAAATTCATTAATTACAAGAAATGGTAAGTAATCAGTTTCTCAATATTCCAGTGCGTGTGTTTTAACTTAAATGTTATTGTTGTTAATGTTCATAAAGTACCTCATAGGTAGATATGTAGGTACCTACTGACTGAAAGAGTGCTGCGTGACTTATGTACCTACCTATAGGTATATTTTTTTTTGGACGAGGGAGATTGAATAGCATCAAGCTTACTGACCTAACCTAAAATCTTAGATAAATTCACACAATGAAATCAAGTGTACCGTCGTGACCACACTGATTTTAATGCTCTTTAAAAATAAAATAAGAGAGCAACCAACAGAATGAATATAGCATGCATAAACTTATAATCTTGCTTAAAATTTTTAAAAGCACCTAGCGAAAACTTTGATGCAAAGTATTGCGTTATATTTATATATATATATATATATATATATATATATATATATATATATATATATATATATATATATATATCATTACATCATTACAGCCCTTCACAAGTCTACTGCTGAACATAGGCCTCCCCCAAAGAATGCCACAAAGCACGGTCCTGAGCCACCTGCATCCATCGACTTCCTGCATATCTTACCAGGTCGTCACTCCATCTAGTGGGGGGAAGCCCTACACTTCGCCTGCCGGTACGAGGCTGCCACTCGAGAACCTTTCTTCCCCATCGGTTGTCGGTTCTTCGAGCTAAATGGCCGGCCCATTGCCACTTCAGCTTACTAATCCGTTGGGCTATGTCGGTCACTCTGGTTCTACTGTGGATATCCTCATTTCTGAGCTTATCACGCAGAGAAACTCCGAGCATAGCCCTCTCCATAGCCTCGCTGAGCGACCTTGAGCTTCCTCATCCGGCCAGCAGTGAAGGACCACGTCTCAGTTCCGTATGTCATCACTGGCAACACGCACTGGGTGTACAGTCTCGTTTTCAAGTTTTGAGGTATACCTGACGAGAAGATGTGCCATAATTTCCCGAACGCTGCTCAACCGAGTTGAATCCGTCGATTGACCTCTCGGTCGAAGTTGGACTTACCTAGTCGGACTATTTGTCACAGGTAAACATACTCGTCAACAACTTCGAGTTTAGTGTTCCCAACAACTACCGGCATAGGTGTGACATGGACATTAAACATGATCTTTGTTTTGTCCATGTTCATCTTAAGACCTATCCGTTGGGAAACACTATTGAGGTCATTGAGCATAGTGCTTAGGTCCTCCAGCGATTCTGCCATAAGGACTATATCGTCGGCAAATCGAAGGTGAGTGATGTATTCGCCATTGATGTTGATATCGTATCCTTTCCAGTCCAGAAGCTTGAAAACATCTTCCAATGCAGCAATAAAGAGTTTCGGGGATATGACGTCACCCTGTCTTACACCTCTCTGCAACTGGATAGGTTTCGTACTCTGGTTCTGTACTCGGATAGCCATCGTAGCCCTACTGTACAAGCACTTCAACACTTCGATATACCGACAGTCAATTTGGCTTCGCTGAAGGGACTGCAGCACCGCCCAAATTTCGATGGAATCAAAGGCTTTCTCATAGTCCACATACGCCAGACATAGCGGCAAATTGTACTCCTCTGACTTCTGTACAATCTGCCGAAGGGTATGTATGTGGTCTATGGTGCTAAAGCCTTTTCGGAAACCGGCTTGTTCGGGAGGCTGGAAGTCGTCAAGTCTGCGCGCGAGACGATTCGTAACATTATTCCGATGATATCCCGGACGTCAGTCTGAGCGAGATTAGAATGGCTCTCCAGCACCTTAAAAACGGCAAGGCCCCAGGCGAGGATGGAATTACAGCTTTGTATATATATATTAAGTTATAAGTAAATTCTTAGTTTATGCACTACAGTCACAGTCACTTACTTTTTATTTTTCAGGTACTACTGTATCTTTAAGCAGAACTGCAATCGAACTCAATTGATTTAAAAAAAGCTACGGACGCTATTGATGATACTTTAAGTGTTTTACAAAATAAAATAGAAAATGTGGACGTAATCTGCCGACAGCTTTTTGAAGTGGCTAAAGAAGTAGCTGAGCAGCTAGATGTAGAAATTAAATGTCCCAGAATAGTATCAAAACAAATACATAGGGCCAATAACCAACCTGCTCAATCTGCTGAAGAGTATTTCCGCAGAGCTATATACATCCCTCTTCTAGATTCAATAATAAGTGATCTCCAGGACCGCCTGTCTCCTGATGTACTTAATTTGTTTCAGCTAAGCATTTTCATACCAAAAAGCGAATATAGTAATGAAGACATTGAAACTGTGAAACAACTAGCTACCGACTATACATTATTACTAGATAACACTCCAGTTTCTGTCATTGTAAATGCGGAACCAGGACATACCGCAGTCGATTTCTGATCTTATTTTAAATTGTGACATCGATATGTATCCTAATATAAAAAAGAAATTATGTATTATGGCTACACTACCTGTCAGTGTAGCGGCAGCAGAAAGGCCTTTCTCTACGTTGCGCAGAGTTAAATCGTGGCTAAGATCTTCAATGGTTGAAGATCGCCTAACCGGACTGGCACTTCTCCACGTTCATAAAAACGTACCCATTGACGTAAATGACGTAATAACGCGTTTCGGGAGAAGACGTAAAAGAAAAATTGATTTTGTTATTTAAATATATGTATTTTGTCTGTTTCTATTTTGTTTGTTGGAAACCCTTGTCGTACCACCTCTTCACTTTTGCGGAGTTTTGCGTCATACCCCTCGACATACCTCTAGCTGTTATGACAAATCATTCACCACGGTTATGGAATATAAATAGGCTGCCTCATTCCGTGCTTGATAGTGTTTCTCTGGATGTCTTCAAGAGAAGATGGCAATATGTACGTGTATATGTAGAAGTTATTATGTGTTAAGTGTTTCAAGTGTACAATAAAGAATAAATATTTTTAAGTACAGTGCTTACGTACATTAATAAAATACCTACTTTTTACTTGTATCTATTGTTATCAAAATTAAATTATAAATTCTTGACTTGACCACGACTATGTGACCCCCTCCTGGCGCCAAAGCTGGATCCGCCCTTGATTCGAAGCCACCAAGTCTCTATCGCAACGGAATATATCAAACCTGCCATCACATAATTCGTTATCAAATATATCATCTTGCAACCAAGTTTCTGTAAGGAGTATAACGTTTTGTGCAAACAATGAATAAAAATAGTGACCAGTAAAAACAAACTTAAAAGTACGTTTTTGTGTACAGCATAAGCAACTAACAGCCTCATAACAGTTATAGTAGTGTATTACCTCAAAGACGGACAAATCATGGACATAGACAGACACATAATATGACGACAGTGACGATATTATTACTACGATGCGGTAAATTATAATAGTTAAAATAGTTTCACGAAATGGTTGTATATACTCTTATAAGTAGGCAACAATATACACAATAAAGCTATGAAACATGTGTTATGTGTTTTATATAAATATTGTAAGTGCATTACATAAATATAAAATACTTTATATAATAATACGTATAAATAAAAACATGAACTTATTGTTATACATAAATACATTACGATATTAATATCAGTGTTAACAGATAAATAATAATGCTTACCTAGATAATTATAGCCTAACTTTGTGCACAACACAGTGTGTTCACTTACTAAATACTGGTAGATGCAAACTAAGATAAGATCAAAACTTACAAATAGTCAAACAATTTTTAAAACATCCGACCTGTCTTTAATACGTAAAGCGTGAGTGGTATCGTTTTTTCTAACGAAGATTTTTCCATCACGAACCCACAAATATTGGTATAGGGCAGATTTCATATTTATTTTGGTATTTTTAAGAAGTAGTTTGTTAGACGGTGTTAAGTGTTCATTAACATATATTTTGGACCCCTCGTCAGGAAAGCCGATGTCGCAGAGTCTAAGTCCTTTCTTAGCACGCACCGCTGCAAGGATAGAATCGCGCAGCATACGGGATCTCAGCTTCACTACGATTGCCTTGGGACGACCGGGAACCACCTTAAACGGACGAATCCTCGTTATGTGAATTACGTCATTTGCTGATAGTTCGATTCCCAAGAAATTAGTTATATTACGGAAATAAAATGACAAATCCTCTCGTGTTTTTTCAGGGATTCCAGTAATCTCAAGGTTGTTTAGTCTAGCTTGTTGTTCAACTTCGTCCATTTTAATCTCAAGGGATCGAACTTGTGTGGACAGTTCTGTAGATTGAGAATTGACACTCTCACATGCTTGCAATCTACTCTCAAATAAATCCTGCCTTTGTATAGATATACTGATAGATATTTCCATTTCGGATAGACGTGCACTGGTTTCCGAGAGTGATTTATTAATTTTTGAGTTGTCCTCAGTAAGTTTTTGTCACACAAGTTCGAAGTAACATGTGATAGTTGTTCGGTAATTGCAGAGTTGACAGCGGTAGTGATACAATTAGTTATGCTATCATTAAAAAGTTTCATTTGCTGTTCCATCCTTTGCTCAAATATTGGAAGCATTCCATGGTCACCGCATTCAATTTGTTTCCTTTTGCGCGAGTTAACGTAGGATTCCATATCTACCGACATATTAGATAAATCGGGGTTCGAGGAGACTTTGATCGGAGATGCGCGTTGCGAATTGTTCATTGTTTACGACGACAACAAGTCACACGTTGAGTGGAGACGAGACGAAAACTAGCAATCCGACTCTTCAGGCGGGGGTGAGGCGCCCCTCAGTTATGACCACGAGCAGCGGAGCGTGAACGAGACCGAAACAGCGGCGAAAAAAAATATATTTGAAATTGCACTGCACTTTACGCACACAGCATTAGCAGTAATCGTTATTACAGGTAGGGTGATTATAGCACGCACATTAGAAACTAATTAACGCACAAAAGTTGTACACAAGTGTCTTCAAAGGCAGTCACACGAGAACAAAAGAATAAGAATAGAGAAGTGTATCTGTATCCTCGGACACTTGGTGCACTTTAATGTCTCCGGCGTATTTGACTTGTCTATGTTAAAATCGTTATATTTTTTAAATGCATGCAGCTAAAATGATAATAAATTTATTATTACTTCATATTTTCAGGGACAGATGAAAGAAAGAGTAGCCTCATCATATGTCACTTGTGACGTAACCCCTCCACCTTTGAAATCACAAGAAAGGAGTGATCAATTTACAACAAGAAATTTTTTTTATCAAAAATCGAGAAATTAGAACAAAAGCTGAAAGAAAAACAAAAGAAAATACGTAGCTTAGCAGCAAAAACTAAAAGACAGGCTAAACAAATTGTTACATTGCAAAACGTGCTTGAAGAAATTCATTCAAGACCAGGATTGAACGATCACTATAACGATATCACCATGGCATGTAGGAATGAATTGATACAGAATTTAATTAACAGGGTTAATGATAAAAAATGTGATAAAATAGTGTCTGCATCCAAATATAACGAAGAATTACGAAAAATTGCTGTCACAATACATTTATATAGTCCGAGAGCATATAATTATTTACGTGAAAAATTTGATTTGTGTCTTCCACACGTTAACACATTGCGTACCTGGTATGCCGGACTAGACTGTGAACCTGGTTTCACTCAAGAATCTTTAAAGACCATAAGAGAAATGAGAAAAAAGGAGCTGATCTAAAACTATGTCTCACTTTTGATGAAATGAGTATACGTGAATACACTGAATGGGTGGGCCAGAAGCATTATGTACAAAGTTTTATGATGCATCAAACACTTCCTAAAAATGCGTCATGAGCTCTCGGACCAATATAGGTGTTCACTGCTGGTTTCTCTCGAATCTCATCGGGCGGCTAGGGTTTATGCGGTCGTTCGCGCTCCGAGCAGAGTATTTATTATTTTAATTTTTTATTATCTCTTAACCTATGCGTCCAAATAACATGCTATAAAGAGCAAAGTTTATCTTCATAAAGTTGTCTTGATGATGAAGTAACTTTCGTTCGTAAGGGTTAATATGACATGCCTAATAATAACGCTCATAAATCACTTTTCCATTTTCAATAATTTTTTTCACAACAACTTATTGCGGCTTATGTATACGCTAAGTCTATAGGTAATTTATATATATATATATATATATATATATATATATATATATATATATATAGCTAAGTCTATGGTAGCAAGCTGTACACGCCCCTAGTTGCCCTAGAACCCAAATGGCCTATGGATAAACGTTATAAATAAGTTAAGTTAATCAAGCACTTACCAATCTCCGGAGGCAGGGTTGACCACAGGGTACCTGTCAGGTGATAAGTGATGTGCATGCAAAGTACTGTGTAGTAGTGTGTACAATGTAACCTGACTTGACCGTTGAAGTCTGACCGCAGATCCACAGGCACTGCCTCTACTCCAAAGGTGAGATCTCTCAAAGGGAGCGATCACCAATTGACAACTTCTTTCTTCATTTCACTATTTCAGTTTATCAACTTTATTGTACATTTAATTAACTTCAAACTCAACTAAATCCCCGTTAATCGTAATCAAAAACGTAACACACGGCACGACTAATAAACGGAGGATCAAAGTTCACTTCCGTTTCACGTAGCAACTAGATTATAACCACGAACAAGAACGCGATCTCTTCTCGAGTCACAAAGTTCAGCGTTACAAACGACAAAATAAATTCCTTCGTACGATAGCAAATTAAACGCGCTCAAATACTCAAATTCTAGACCACAAATCCAAAAACTGGTCGCGCGAAATCGATACAGCGGTCACCAAAATACGCGAATCAACCGCGCTGCTGTTGTCAAGCTGCTGACCTCGCACTCACGAGGCCGAACGCCGGGAAGTGGCATACCGCTGCCCCCCACCCCCCGGCGTCGCGCACGACACCTCACACCATCGGGTGATTCACTTAGTCCAACGCGATTGGATGGCGTATCAAATGCCCATGTTTGGGCCTAAACACAAGCTATTAATCAAAGACCATAGATGTTATTTTAAACTGGCTTTAGCTCTGGGTTCTAGCCCTTCTTAGAGACCATAGATAAATAAATACGTGTCACAGAATATTATTACACAGATTACTGTATACCAGTCTAAGAGTCTACTTTAATAGGATCATAGGATCCAGGGATGGAAAACGGTCCCAAAATACCGGTATAGAACCGGTATTTAGGGGTTTCACTACCTATACCGGAACAGGAACCAGAACCTAACTTAGAACCTTTAAGAACCTTTATTTTACCCGTTTCGTTCCGTTCCGTTCCGTTAAGTATTGCGAAAGCGAGTCCAAACTTGTTTGAGGTGCGGTCAGGCGGACGGCGCATTCATTCATCATTCAGACATCATTCTCTCTCTCTTCTTCTAATGTTGTCTGTATTAAATTATATTTAATAATTAATTCTATGCTATCTGTATTAAAATAAAACCATTCTTACTCATAAATAACAAATTTTTGTGACGTTAATCGATTTCAAATGTTAGTAGCATAGATATTTAGAATTAAATTAGGTTACGTCTTCTTGACAAATAGGCAGTTAATATAACCGCTTATAACCTTTTTATAGATGATTGAATTGTCACTTTTGTCTCAAATTTTTCTTATCCATACTATCCCATTTGTTTTTACAATTATTTAAAAAATTCTGCCGGATTATTCTTCGCTTTTCCT